CAAGCTTATGAGTGGTACATTACAAAGAATGAGGCATATTCTTGTGAGCTGGGTGATTTAAGTCCCCATACCCACTGAGATATAACTAAACAGATCGATCGGCTAGGCGTTTCCAAGCCGGTTGGAACAGTGAATTCTGGTCATCCTACATGTAGGCTCTCAACTGAAACGAAACATCGTAAAGTTATTCTAATTTCAGCACATCTCTTTTTCAACCTGCTTTGACATTTCAACACACTGTCTGAGGCCTACCGCTAGGAAGTCTAGATGAATATTCGTTTACGATAAATACACTCATTTGCAAATCAATTTGGTTTTCATGAAAGACTCAACTGAATCTCTCGTTTATGATATTCTACAACTGAATGTGCTGCACACAGGCCGCCTCATGTTTCAGATGGCACGATTTTCGTGATATTGCAGTATATTTTCATGAAGGAAACTACTCACAAGGTTGCTGATTCAATTGAGTCTCCCGTGAAAACCAAATTGATTTGCAAATGAGTGTATTTATCGTAAACGAATATTCATCTAGACTTCCTAGCGGTAGGCCTCAGACAGTGTGTTGAAATGTCAAAGCAGGTTGAAAAAGAGATGTGCTGAAATTAGAATAACTTTACGATGTTTCGTTTCAGTTGAGAGCCTACATGTAGGATGACCAGAATTCACTGTTCCAACCGGCTTGGAAACGCCTAGCCGATCGATCTGTTTAGTTATATCTCAGTGGGTATGGGGACTTAAATCACCCAGCTCACAAGAATATGCCTCATTCTTTGTAATGTACCACTCATAAGCTTGCTGTCGACAGATTTTCAGCAACCTTATGAGTAGTACATTACAAAGATATAAAAGTATCGCGATATTTCAAATATCGTGGCGACTGAAACATGAGGCGGCCTGTTGCATCACATCCTGAATTTGTCTGAGAACATCACAAACGAGAGATTCAGCTGGGTTCCGGGTGAGTCTCTCGAAAAAAAAAACAAATTAGTTTGCAAACGAGTGTATACTCGCTAATATGCCTTATTGTTTCCAAAAGTGGTCAAAGCCGAAACGTCTGAGCAAAAGAATCGGACCGACATAATAGGCTCTGGAACCGTAGTAACTCCAATCAAATTTCTACACATTTCGATGAATTGCGCCAAATTCAGGCAAAATTCGGTGAACTCTACTCCGTATTCTGTGACCAGGGCAAAACCGTGCACCTCCTAGGGGGTTTCGCTGCCTGGTGTGCCAAACTGAGGCAGGCCAATGTGATGCAATGATGAACGAGACCGAAGCATTTCGTGCGGTTCTTCTGGTGACACTCATTTCGGAGACTACAGAGGTTTTCTCTGGCTGTCGAATCGCTCTCAAATGAATTCCAGTGCGAGGCCACATAGAAGCAAACTGGACATATAAGTCGCGGAAATGCGTGGAACTTTAGTTCAAAACTTTTATCAGGCGAGTGGGATGTCATACCTGTCAGCGTCTAGAAGAAACTCAGGGGAAACTGCCACAAAAGACAACCAGTTAACATTGATGGTCAAACTCGGCTGAGAAAATACGGGGATGCCAGTGTATGGGATCTTTTTCAGATAAGCCCCGACACTAACGCAAAAAGTGCATGTGCGAAAAGTTAAGCCACCCTCCGCCTTTTGCCAGCTCCAATCTAATCTACGCACACAACCTTGACCTATTTTTGATCAAAACAATTCCTTATCCGCATGTAGGCTCATCTCGTGCAAACATCGTCTCCGTTCGGACGTAAAACCTCAGATGAACTTTCTGACGCTTTCAACTCTCGTTCATCACAAGGAGACGGCATTACGTTTTTAGCGAAGCCACGGAGTGATCTACCAGTAACGTTTTTGCCAGCGTTTATGGCCAACAAATGACACTTTCAACTGTTTCTGACAGGCAACGATGTAATGTCCGACAGTGCAGGTAAGAAATCAGTCTTCGAAAGGCAATTTGGCTGGACCGGTTTAGGATGGAGTTAAGGAGAGTAATTCTATCATTTATTGCTGGTCCAAAAATTTCGTAAAAATCGAATTCTGCTCAGAGCAGTTATCTATTAGCCACATGACCGCTGATGACTGGAAGAACTTTCTTCGCAAAGTTTGCGCCTGACGGCTTTCGGAGACTCCAACAGTTATCGGCAGCCCAGGTCTACACGTCGAGATCGATGAAACGATAATATCTCGCCGTAAAATTCACGTAGAGCGAATGCTTCCCCAACAGTGGATTTTCGGAGGGGTGTGTCGGGAAACTAAAGAGGTGTTCGTGAATGCAGTGCCAGACCGAACTGCGGCCAATTTGGTGGACAAAATCCAGGCCTGCATCACTCCCGGCTCAATTGTCCTCTCCGATATGTGGAAATCATACCAAGGAATTGAAAAGATGATTGACATGAATTATACTCATGAAACGGTTAATCATACCGAACACTTTGTGCAACCAACGACTGGAGCTCACACACAAACCATCGAAACTCTTTGGAGAGTCTACAAGGTGCAGAATAAACGCCAATGCGGCACACACCGATGTTTAGTGGACAGCTAGTTGTGTGAATTAGTTTGGAGGCCAAGGTCGCGAAAAACGGACCTTTTCATTCAAACTAATAATGACATGTCCCAACCATTTCACCCTCTTCAATAAAAACTAAAGTGCACATTTCATATCCTCTTTTTTCTAATCTTTTTCGAGTCGCATGGGTTTCATTTTTTGGCGGGGTTTATCTGGAAAAGATCCCGCGTATGTCCCAAGGGTACTTAGCGTAAGCTCTCCACAGTGGTTCACCGACACAAAATGAGCGATCAGAAGGCCTTCAAAGCATGCACTCGCTGACTAGTCTAGCGTGGAACACTCGAAATATCGCGCAAAAAAGCCAACCGGCAGTACCAATGAGAGCCCTGGCGCTTCACCGCCATACTTCCATGCCAATTCATTTGAATAAAGTCGTAGAATGGAAAGAATAAATAAATGGGACAGGGGGATACCTAGGGCCAGCTTGCAGCAAACATCCAACAGTCCGGTTGACACACTGGCTAGAAACTGTCACGTTAGTGACATCGGTTAGCCGCCACATCGTTCAGTGTCTCCAACCAAGCGCAGTCACATAAACCCCTTCCTTGAGAGCAAAAAGCACACTGGGCCGACTGAACGTCTTCGAGAAATTTTCAGAAACGCCAACCAAAGCAAGGGCCAACATGCCGACGACATCTCATAGTATGTCAGCACTTCGGCAGGCGTTTGCGTTTGCCTGATATCCTGTTCTGATACACACAAAAAGGTTGATTCAGACCAGCAGATTTAGATGGGTCTGAGTGTCCGGGATGAAAGTTCATCACTCAAGCAAGAGATCAACCTGTATCCCGGTTACTCGTTTTCACTAAGGTCATAGGTCAGCGAACTCACATTTATGGATTTCAAAGAAGTACAAAACTAAAAATACGAAGGTATCCTTTTAATCAGTTGCTGTTGGTCTTGAATACCATTGTAACCATACCTAATAGTAATAACTATAGTAATACTGCTTGACAGTCTGTGCGCGGTTACCCAAGCCTGGACAGAAGTAGTTAGGACACAGAGGCCGGGTTCGAACCACAGATGTTCCGGTCAGTGTAGGTTTGCGCTTCAAGCACCAAGCTATCTCGAACCCAAAGTGGCTGTAACAGGCCTGTAGTACGTAAGGAATAGTTGTTTGAAATACATAATATTTCAGCTATAGCACTCTTTCGATTCCTAACTGCCATGTCCCTCGAAGGTTGCACGATGGCTGAGATACTGCCAGGTCGCGCAAGCCTAGACAGAAGAAGTCGAGATGCGGCAGAGGTCGGGTTCGAACCACGGACCTTCCGGTCGGTAAACTCGCGCTCTAACCACTTGGACCATCTCGCCAACTACCTTAGCAGCCTGGCAGTATCCCAGTCCTCGTGCTTCCCTCGGTTGGCATGGCAGTTTGGCACTGAAACGGTGCTACAGTTGAAAATTACCCTAAATGAGATATAAAAGTGGGATTCATCCGAATCACCCGTCGAAACCAAATTGATTTGTAAATGAGTGTATTTCTCGGAAACAGTAAAATTTGGGTTCAAGTAAAGCATAAGGTTGACGGAAACTCGGGGACTGCACCTAAGTGATGAACCCCAAGAAGGGCGAAACCGGTCGTAGGCTGTCGAAGAGTGTTCAGCAACCTTTAGGAAAATATACTACGATATCTCGAATATTGAAACATGAGGTGGCATTTGTGCAGCACACGCAGTTGGAAAAGACGATCACAAGCGAGAGATCTCGGTGGGATTCGACTGTGCTTCCCGTTAGCTAAATCTACTTTTAAAAAGGTGTGTACACTGCGGACTGTGTACAACTTGCGTCAAAGTAAAATATAGGGTTTACGGAAACTCGAGGACCGCGTCTACCTGATGACACTCAAAACAAAACGACATCGGTAGTGGGCCATCGAGGAGTTTCCAAGAATCTCATGAGTACTGCGTTCCACCAAAACAAAAGCCGTAACATACCTTAAACGGTTCCTAACAGAAAATGGAATATTCCACGACTAGGAGCCAAGTGAAAAGTAGCAGTTTCAGAACAGTTTGCCGAAACTTCCATGGATTCATGGTTGAACAACGTATAATTTTTGACACATTATGTCAACGGGGTAAGTCACTAGGTTAGTGAAGTCTCGTTCAGCTGTAGCACCCTTCCGGTACCTAGCGGCCATGCCACCCGAATGTTGCACGATGGCTGAGATACTGCCAGGTCGCCCAAGCTTAGACAGGGAGGAAGTCGAGAGGGGGAGGTCGGGTTCGAACCACGGACCTTCCGGTCAGTAAACTTGCGCTCTAACCACTGCGGTCATCTGACGCCCTAATAAACACATATGGACGTCGAAATCTGCAGGATAAACCCGAGGATCGGCCGACAAAGTCGTAGAAACTATTACCACAAAATAGCGCTTTATTCGCAACGGGGAAATTAAAAAAACGGTGAAATAGAACAGGTGAAGAACTTACAAATCCATATCCCCGGCTTTTCCCAGTTTGTCTGTCCGTAATCACAACTGCTTCCTCAATCGGTCCGAATTGTTCGAAAAAACACCGCAAGCTGTCATCTGTCGTATGGTACGGAAGGCCACCAACGAATATTTTTGTAAGGGTCGTATCCTTCTGAATATGCCCAGTCATACTGTTTGTGCTACTGCTATTCGTCGAGTGTCGTGATCCTACTCCACTGGGCGTCATGTAAGTGAATGTGGATCGTGCCTTCTGTGGCTGGACCTCGTCAACGATGCATGGGCCACCACCACCAGAACCGTTCAGGGAGGGGACAGTATAGTCAGCGGCACGCTTGAGCATTCTTGGAGGTAGGGTAGGGCATTCCAGGGCCAATTGCTTCAGTCGTCTTCACCTTTCCACCAATAGGGTTATCGCACGAGTAAGTCAGCGGAGCACAGCGTGTTCGTTGGTCGATGCGCTCACATGTCCGCGTCGGCGTACGTGCGTGCGCACGTGTGCGTGTGCGTGCGTGCATCTGTCGAATGAGTGACGGACATATCGCACCGCGTGGTCGCACTGACACGCGGTGCAATGGTGATGATGGTATGACGCGGTGGTGGAACCACGTGCTTGTATTTGTGTGCCCCATCTGCAGTAACGTGATGTGCGTTCGTGTGCGCACAGGTCAACAGAAGTGTCCGTATGGCTGCACATTCTACGCTTTTTTCTTCTGTGACAGAGCCCTGTTGGGTTAAGCGTCGCACGGCTGTCGATTTACTTTCATCATTGAGAGACGGCAGACTGTCTCCAGCCTATGGTTGTTAAATTTCATCAATTCATCATCAACCTACTATGCTATCTTACTATACTATACTATACTATACTATACTATACTATACTATACTATACTATACTATACTATACTATACTATACTATACTATACTATACTATACTATACTATACTATACTATACTATACTATACTATAATTTAATGTACTGTACTATACTATACTATACTATACTATACTATACTATACTATACTATACTATACTATACTATACTATACTATACTATACTATACTATACTATACTATACTATACTATACTATACTATCTTTATTTCAGCAGATTCTTCCTTCATTCCAAAGTATTGGTGAGCAAATCGAATTCGTGAAGTGTGAAACCTTTTCCGTGCATAGTCCGTCCAGGGGAGCGCCCGGTGCCCTAGTCCTCGACTTTCAAAACCGGGAACTAGAATCGTGCTGATTCCGCACGTGATTCTCTCTCTGTTGCTACCGTGATGTTGAGACACTCCTCTTTCAATAATTTAGTGTCCACCAGCAGCACTACTCATAAGGTTGCTGATAATCATTCGGCAGTCAACGAATGGTTTTTCTCTTCCACTTTGGGCTCACCAGGTAGGTTTAGACTCGAGATTCCTTTCGGCCAACCTTGTGATGTATTTATTGGGTTGCTTGAAGAGGAAGTTTTAAAACCAGCTAACGAGTGGTCACCGATAGTAAGCAAGACTTTCAGCACAACCATAAAGCTGGAAAAATCCCGCGATATGTCACGCCCATTATGTTTCTTCACGAATTATTCTAATGTTGAAAGCTCTACCATAACCAGTACTTGACACATGGTCACTTACATAGTAAACGCCCCTCGTGTGCGGTTCTAGAGGCGAGACCAAGTGCCATTACGACTTTTCCTCTTTCTTGTGACCTTGAAAAATCAAGCTAGCGACATTTCGGAGAGGAATAGCCTGAAATTCGTGGCGTTTGACGACCACATGGTCGTAGTAGAGGAGGAACCTTTGCAGGGAGTGCGACTAAATGGATGGAGTGTGCAGCGCCACGTTTGAATCGTACCTGGGTTTCTGTCACCCGTCTTACAATTGTGCATTCAATCCGAAGTACACCACTGAAGTCAAGCTATATAATGTGTGGCTTCCTTCGACCAATACGTTCACGTGCATGTCAATTTGGCCTTGACGGGAGACTCACCTCGTTTATGATGTTCTTCACCAATTGAATGTGCTGCACAGAGAGGGCCGCGTGTCTCAGATGGCCCCATGTTCGAGTCATCACAGTTTATTTCAATAAAAAAACTTCTCTGGTATTTTCGAGAGACTCACCTGGAACCCAGCTGAATCTCTCGTTTGTGATTTTCTCAGGTCTCAAGTAGAACATAAGGTTGACGGAAACCCGGGGACTGCGCCTACCTGATGAGCCCCAAAAAGGGCGAAACCGGTCGTGAGCTGTCGACGGATTTTCAGCAAACTTATGAGTAGTACATTATAAAGAAAACTTCTATTCAGGAGTTTGCTGGACCATCTTCAACGGCTCAAGGTCATGAACTATGGGGATTGCTAGAACAAATCGCAAATGTCCGAAGCAGAAGCAACAGCTACAACCCAATTTAAGGTCAGTTCATTCAACGTTTCCCGTTCGTCTTCGTTACAAGCACAACTGGGACATTGTGTGCACTCTTGGCTTCCTCCAACATCGAAGAGTTTTCAGCAACCTTGTGAGTAGTTCCCTTCATGAAATCATACTGCGATATCTTGAATATTGTGCGAAGTGAAACATGAGGCGGCCTGTGTGCAACACATTCAGTTGGAGGACATCATACACCAGAGATTCGATGGAGTCTCCCGTGAGAAACAAATTGATTTGCGAATGAGTGTATTTCTGAAAAAACAGTCCAATTTGGGTTCAAGTGGAAGATAAGGTTGAAGGAAACTCGGGGACTGCGCGCCTACCTGATGAGCCCCAAGAAGATGGGCGAAACCGGTCGTGGGCTGTCGAGGAGTTTTCAGCAATTTCATGAGTAGTGCATTACCAAATTCATTTGGTTTGCCTCACTTAAATACCCACCAACAGAAACCACAAAATTAATCAAAAAAATTGGTTCGGTTCCTCTCCTTATCAAAAGAATTCTGAGATATTGTTCATGTCACACAAATCGATCGACCCAATCGTTCTCACAGCATCCAGTTGGACGCGACTTGGATTTCGGTGATAACCAATCGTTCATGTTTATCTTCGTTTTCTAATTTAGTAGGTAACTGTTATTTACCTATTCTGATCATTAGATATGTGCTGACCTGATGACCGGATCAGCACTGCGTTCTTCTCTAAACTATGGAGATATTCAAGCAAATTGATGAACTCGCTTGCAAGTTGCGTTGCTGTCAACGGGAGAGAATCAACTTGATCTCAGGTGAAGCACTAACCGCACGTGTTACTCACTGGTAGCCTGGTGCTCAGGCCAATGTGACATTAAAAAGTATTCCTTTACTTTACTCTCCGATAACCCACTTCCGGTTTTGTACTTTTTAAGACTGAGTAGTCCCCGAATTTTTATGAAGGTTTCAAGGTCCATTCTAGTGTTAGTCCTAGTAGTGAAGTACTTTGACGCGGCGAGGCGAGCGTGTAACCACTACTCCACTAACGCACGTTGGACGCATCTGAATTATCACGTCTGAACAGGCGAACGTGTTCACACTTGAGCGATGTGATTGGTTGGTGTGCCCGACTCATCGAACGGCGACCAGTAATCGTCCTGGTTGTGGCGATCGATTGACCCGCCAGTCAGGACTTCCCAGTCAGGTAGCGTCACAGACGCTTGCAACCCACTGGGCAACCTTTTGGTTGAAGTTTTGGGGTTTTGCGGGATAGGTGTTTCGTTCCTTTGTTCAGTGTCTGTCGGTTGAACTTGCCACCTGTATCGCGCAACCCACACTGAATTCATGAAAGGTTTTGAAAACCTGGGATTATGGTTCGCAGTAAAGGTTTGGCTTACTCTATAAGCTGGATAACTCCATATTTACATCGTGTTCTCCCCTCAAAGTGGTAGGACAACCCAGGCTGATGAAGGAATCGCAAAAAGCCTTTACAGTCATCTTAGAAATCATCGCAAAAATATGATCTACTTCCGCGCTGAGTTTAAATGTTTCCAAGGTCACACTTCCAGTGTGGCATTCTACAACAGAAGCTCTGGATGCCCCAGCGGGTGCAACGTCTTAAGTGACCATTCATGCGACGCTTTCAAGTTTCCTTCCACTAGAGGCCGATCAGTCATCACTTAAAGATGAATGAACACTTTAGGGTAAGAAATGGAACTTTAGGCTCTATGTGCTTATGCCAACACAAGGCGAAGCTCAACACCGTTGAGAACTTTGGAATTTTGGACCGGTTTTATGCAAGATGACGAAGGATTCAAACAGATGGAACCTCTGCATAGAGATGAAGTTCCGTGGAAGTCTGGCGGTGGAGAATGACGTCTCACCCAGGAGTGATTCTATGGGCCCTGCCACTATGGAGCTTTACAGCGCATCTAGATTTGTCCAAATGTGCGAAGTAACTTGAGTGGAAACCCTTTTTTTGGAGAAAACAAGTTCAAAGGTCCTCTCGGATTTTTCTGAATCTTGTGGTCGGTTTTGCAAGACCGGACAGATCACAAGGAAAGTGTGGGGTGATCCAACTCTGCAGGGACTTAGTGCTAGCTTAACACAATCATTCCGAGGTGCATATACCTCCAAACATTCACTCAGGCAATCTGGATAGAAACTGACAACAAGAACGCCACTGACATCGGTTGGCAGCCACATCTTGTAGTGTCTCCAACCAGGCGCAATAGAGATCACGCGGTCCCCATCCCGGAAGGTGAGTATCACCGACAGCACCCAAGCGTTTCGTGATCTCGTTCATACTCCCCTGTCATGTCAAGGTTTGGCCGCCTCCCTGAGTTGGGCATGGAAATTAGCACCTTATTCGGCAACCGGCCTCGATTTCAAAGCAGTTGCTTGTTGTATACAGCCGTTTGGAAATTGTGCTCTTGCTATCAGACACCTGTTGTCGCTAGCAGTATAAGTGAGAAGGTTTTTGCTGCAGAGTTATTTATTAGAAAATGCCAACTGAACAAATACAGAGAGGGAAGCAAAACTCTCATTTGAATCTTGTTTACAAAAACTGAATATCTATCTTCTCCTTGAACTCGTCCTCCTGAACTTTCCTGAATATTCACTGACTGTTGCTCAGATGCAAGCAAACGCGACTCCACAAATTTCGTAATATATCTCACGCAAAGCGGATTTACGGGAAAACGTACTACTCACATGCACCCACCAGTAGTTTCAACCGGTACACCAAGATGGGTCATGGGAGCTACACGATACTTATTCGGAGGTACATCGTGTAGGCCTATCCGTCGCACGGTAGTCTGGCTTGGGTTGTTGAAATCGGTCGCGATAATGTACCGCCTCTCACTCGCCGCAGGAGAACAAATACACACACTGGTCTGAGAGAACCTTGTTCCGCGCCTGCTATCCCGTTTACACCGGATTGGATAGATAGGGCAGAGAGATTTATGGTGTG